AGTAAAAACAATATTAATTTTATAGGGGTAGGAACAACTACGGGTGGGGGAAAAATTCCCAGCTTTCCGCCTATCCGATTATTATATGACGATTCCAGATTATCGAGCGCCGATTTCTTCTGTATAATAAAGTGTTTGTTACAGTTTTAACAAATGTAATTAGGTTATTTGATTGTTTTCAACTTGACATTTAATGATAAAGGCGTAACGATTTATTTTACGGTACATTAACTCGTAAATTATTACCTAAATAGAAAGATATTTATGAGCTAAAAATAATTAGCTTTTTAATAATAAATTGAATAAGCTCCGGAGTATCTGTACGATTGTATGTGGCGTAGTTAAATAGCAATAACTGTCATTGTTTACTAAATTATATAAAGCTAAGAATGTCAATTACAGTAGAGCGTCGATTATCCGAAAGTCAATCACCCGAAAGAATTCCAGTCGGCAAGTTTAAATTTTCGCCAGTGCTGTGGCGCTGCAATCTTTGGCTATGACTCGGGCTACTTCAATATTTTCGTTTTTGATACTAGATTAACTTCTGAAGTATAATTTTTCATTGTTTTTATATTTTTCAATATATTTATTTTGTTCGTACAAAATAAAAAAATAATTTTTAACGATACAATAGTCTTCGTTAGGCTTAACATCGACGAAAATTCAACGCGAAGCGACACTCAACGGAGAAATATTTCAACACGGGATAGGTTAATATATTTTTTCGTGCATAATCGGTTATCCGAATATCGATTTTCCGAACAATCCCGTCCCCAATAGATTCGGATAATCGACGCTCTACTGTAATAAGAGTATTAGGGAAGAAATGAGACCGTGAAATTACATTAAAAAATAAAAATAAATTAAATTTTATAGAGTTGATAGTCGTGTTCTAGAATTCTTTTATGTTTACATTCGAATTGCAAACTTTTTTTACTCGTAGTTCTATTTTTTGGAGGATCGCTTTCATAGTTACGATGGATTTAGGGGTGGGTAGGGCGTAGCTGCATCAGTTTCTGGGGGTTTTTCCGAGTAAAGCCGGATATCTCGGGTAGTAAAACATTTTTTAAGGTATATTGTTTTCCCTCTGCACCCTTTCTAAAGATTTTGGATCCGCTATTGATTATATCGCGCATTGGTTTGGATTGATGGTGTAAGGCAAGGTAACGCGGGAAGATTAATTAACCAAGTAATTGGTTCTCGGGAGAACTTTCAATGGGAAACTGGTCCCTCTTTAGGTGTTACACGCGTAAAAAAAAACCCGGAAAACCCCACGCGATTTTAACCACTCGGCCACTTATAAGCTACGTTTATAGTGTAACAGCTCGAACGTTCGAACGTGCCGATAACTTTCACTTTCAAATAACTTTTAGCAAATCAAAATTATTGTTGTTAGTTTTCAAAGTAGAATTTTCTCAAACTTTAGGAGAAATTTTTCTGTTTAGTTTTATTTCTATTAAGATCGATTTCAGTTTTTGCCACTAATTTTGCGCAAATAACTTTACTTTAGGCCATAAAACGCTTGAATTGTTTTGATATCGTAATAAGTAGAATTTTTTTATGTTAAATTCAAAATTGTTGAATTCAAATTGAAGTTTTGCGTAATTTTCTTCTTTTCAGTTGCTAAAATTGAAAAAGTAACTGTTTCTAAAAACTAATTTTAATCCCTCAAACCCAGAAATTATTCGTCAAACCCTCGTGACACCGATGAATTACGAGTATCAATTTTTCGGAAATCGCTCACACTAAACCCTCGGAAAAATTTGGAAAATCGAAACGATTCTCCAAATTTTTCGGAGTAATTCGTATGGAGGTCTTCGTAATGCTCGAGAAATCTGAGAATGTTTTCCGCGAGTCCGAAAACGAAATCGAAATCGAGTTTAATCGATTTTCGACGAAAGACTCGCGCAATAAGGAAAATAGCCGAAGGTTACCTTCGTATAAAGGAATAATTGCCTTGAACTTCTCACACGAGAAACCTATACAAAGTCAGGGACGGGTCGCGCGCGATTCGAGACGAACATCGCAAAATTCGGGGAAACGACTTCCACATCGACGTCTCAATTTTCGTCCAAGGTGGAATTACGCAACGACATCCGTTTATTTTTCGTTTTACGTCACCGTCGAAGGTTTCGTTCGATGTAACAGAAAGAACAGACACGGACGTCTCGCTATTGTTACTTCGAATGGCGATATCCTCTTCGTAGGAAAATATCACGAATAATCGAAGAAATTAACGGATTTCGTATAAATTAGTTTTGAAACTACGAATTTCATAAAAATCGTGTTTTGAAATCGCAAAGAACTCGCGCGGAGGCATCGAAATTCAGTCAGAAACCACTCCGCGGATTCTTTACGAAATTCTGCGTACTGAATTTCATTTAGACACGAATTTCGAGAAAAATTAATCTGAAATGAATTGTCACTACGAAACTATTGTTAATGCGGTCGTTAGTAATATCTTAAGATAATAATTGAAAATATCTTTGAATTGGCAAAAAGAGACGAAGAAGTGAAGATAAAAAGGGCTTCGAGTTACGAATTCGATTTCTAGTATGAGTTTCGTCTTTGGAAGAGCCATGCGAAAAATTCGTTAAGAAATGCCAAGCTCTCTACTTGTGAAAGAAGTATACGATAAGTGATCAACGGCGAAACTCGATTTTCCCTTCCTCCCGGAAACTCGACCTAATTTGCGATCGACGAGCGACGGACCTTCTCCGGCTATTAACCCAATTTCTTTCTTCTAAAAAACTAGAAAAATATGAAGGCGACCCAACTATTTCTTTGTCATTATTCCGGTTCCATCACCATGCCCCAGGAAATATTGTGCAGTAGATCCGTCTATTCCATTCCCAGTCGTTTCGTCTCTAAATAATCGTTTCAACTTTAAATCAAAAATCTCATTTTCGATTCAATTAATCGTCTTCTTTTTTTCAGAGTATTTGTTTTCTCGGGAATCTTCCACCAACGAATTTTCCGTCTTTTTTCTTTGTCTATCCGACGCATTTCAATTGTTCATCAGGATGCGACTCTTTTTTTGAAAGTAGAAATTAAATATTTCACCCGCATATTTTCACCCGCATGCGGAGGTTTTTACCTCCGCACGAATATAAATAATAAATACAGAAAAAATAATATTGCTGATGCAGAACTGTTATAAATTACAAACGGTACGGCGAGATTTACCAAGGAAAGCTAAATGCCCCTCCTGTTCTTCCTTCTCCTATTCCTCGTATCCTTCGTCCTTCGATAGGCGGTCGCGGGTGCGAGTTTGGCATTTTATTTGACATACCTTATTTTACCAATAAGATTAATAACGGTATCTCTCTTTATCTTCGTGTTTATTCGTTCTGTAACTCTATCCGCTTGGTACGCGTGGAAACTCTAGGAACTTCTCTATTTATCCATTTATATAGATACATTTATTAATGTCGTCACGATCGTCTTAAGTAATGCGAAGATATTTTACTGTAATGAATAATATTTTAGTTCGACGTTCGTGAATATACAGAGCAAAATTCTATTATACAGTATCGAGTAAGTTACCTTGAGAGAAATGCGTACAAACCAGATTATTCATCATAATGATCAGCGTACGGTAGTTCATACAAACATCTATACAAATATCGCTAAACCCGATATACAGTATAATATAGCTAAATACCAACCGAATGCCGAAAATCTATCGGGCTAGTTTTAAGGCTACTTACTAAATGAATTACGTAACCAATTTGTCTCTAGAGGTAAGCGTTAGGCGCCATCTCTTATTAACATTAATAATTAAAAATAAATTAGTTAATTTAAATAATTTACAACCGCTGGGAGAAAAAATCGGACCGAAGCGGAACTCGAACCCACAACTCCCGCTTACCGTGCAGATACGTTGCCAGTTACACTATCCGGACCTCCAGTCCGATCTCCTCTTCCAGCGTATAGAAGCTAACTATATAACCATCGACGGTCATTACAGTACGGTAGTTCTTTTTTTACAAATATCAGAAACTGGAGAAATACGGTTTGCCGATTTAAGAGGCAGTGGTAGCTTCCGCTACCTTCATTTTAACTCTACGAACGTAATATTTTAAGCCCGTACACAACCATACACAATTCTTTTACAAATCAGATTATCTTCGTATTTGTAAACGAAGTTTGCAAAGCGTTTGGCATCGCAGATCATCAACTTTCTTCTGTCGCGTTGTTTCTCCTCAATTTTGTTCTTTCACTTAGGATTTGAACAAACAAGCTCCTACTCGCACTTCTGTTTTGGTTCCGACGATAACCGCGTGGGAATACGAAGGAACAGCTGGAGATAGCAATACGTTAAGAATATCTCACGGCCGGTCGTGGTGCCACTCGTGTTCCGTCTTTCCAGCAGGATAACGTCTTATCACACACACACAAACAGCTCGCAATTCTCAAGAATACTTTTGTGAAGTGGAAACTCTTCCTTGTCGAGTCGACGGATTGAACGTCAGCTACAGTCGTTCCAGAACATTGCTAATCTTGAGGACCAGTTATGGACCGAACGAGTCCTCGGCATTCATCATTGTTAAAAACAGTAATCGAGGATACTAAGTTGCACCATTTATGATATTACTGATAGTATCGAAAATGTATTTTTGTGGGAGCAAAATTTTTGAAAGATGTGAAAAATTTGTGGTTACTTCTGCCCAAACATCGTCGATATAGTCCGGTTTAAAGCGTTTTAAAGAGATGAAAAGCGAGTGATGACATATCGTAAAGTCTGGATATAACCATAAAATAACGCGTATCAAATTGGGCTCTTCGTACTCCGAGTAAATTGGAGCGTAGCTAAACACAAATATGAATAGAAAGTTTATATAGATTTTATGAATAATGCACCATTTATCTTTACTGTTCTCGAATAATAATAGTAATCGAGACCATAGAAGAAAAAGTGTTAACTTTTCTATAGACAATCAATCATTTCCCAATTCTCGAATCAAATTTTTATCGTGTTTTTATGCATATTTTTTCAGAGTAATGTTCAAACTGGATCGACGGAAGACGTTGCTTCTGATGTTTGCAGTTTCTGCGGTTAGCGCGCAACAGAGCAACGATGCACAAGGTAAAAACTTCTTTCGTTCTTTTTTTAAATAAAAATTCTACAAAATTTTGATAAATAAAAACAATTCAAACTTTTATACACATAATCAGCTAATATAAACAAAATAGAAAATTAAATTAAACCAATTAAATAGAGCATAACTAGCTCACCAATAATCGAGTGGATATCACCACTGAACACTCGTGGCTTGTCGCGCAATCAATGCAGTTTTTCGGGTGTTCTTCACGTGTACAGCATCTAAATCCGTGTAAATTTAGAATAAAATGTTCACCCGGAAGACATTTCCATTTGCTTGATTTGATCGGATGCGGCGATGCAACATATGGGCCATCTGCTACCGAGGATGCCCGAAGAGGGACTTTGTATGGGAAACTGGCTGCTATTTATGTGTTAGACTCATTAAGAAAACGCAGAAAACATCACGTGGTCAGTACGTTTGTCGGGTGAAAACCTGCGACCAATTATCAGTGTTTAGTAGTCGTATCTACTCGGCCATTAGTGGGTCAAACTGAAACTTGGAGTCGACCGATAAGAGGGAATTAATATTTACGCCATATTTTACTCAAACAACGAACGAACATTATGAAGTTGTATAACTAATCATTCTATAGTTAATAATTCTGGAAAAATAATAAATACTACAGATTTATTACAGTAAATAATGCATAGTATTAATATTATTTTTAATTGATTTGATATTATTTAAAAATTAATAATATCAACTATTATCTTTATGGTAACTTCTTATATTAAAAATCTGAATATATTCAAGAGAATCAAAATTAGATATAAAATAATTAATTATACAACCGATTACTGTCTACTGCATTTGTAATTAATAATTTATTTTAGATTTATTATAATTATAGTGAAGATTAAATTAATTTTAATAAACAAACTAAGATCAATTACGTTTTAATTTAGGCTTCACACACTGCTGCATTTGTAAATCATGTGTTTATTGATACTTTTAGACATAGTTTTTCCCATTCGTTTCGGTTTAGCTGTTTACATCATATTACAAGGATTAAGGACACTTAAGGATACACAGTTTCTTATGCGCTGTACTCGAACACCGAGTGATTGTAATTAATGTATTTTTATTCAACGCTATATAGAGAGACATTTAGCAGTTCAAATGCAACGAAATTGGTATGGCGACATTGCAGGACACGCAGAAGACATTTCGTAAAAAATATTAGTACCGAAACTTACCAGTATGGCACTTTTGACACCGCGAGCGATAAACATTTTATCTGTACAAAACATTCGCGCTATACAAAGACTAGAATTTGGGAGCGGATACCGTTCAATGCGGTCTCCACCTTGAAGGCTATAAACAGTATTCAACGGGCGACCGTAATTGATTCTCTGTAATGTGCATCACATGCAGTATGACGCTGGCTCACGAGACTGCCAAATTTTCTGTATGATCTCGATAAAACACAATAAATGTTTCTCACAATTGAAAAGCACGTGAATTCGAAGTGCGAAGTGTCAAGTGTCATAGCTATGAGTTTTGGTAGAAATTATGTACTTCTCTCTTTTAACACTAATAAAAAGAATTAGTAACTAGTGGCGTAACTAGGAAGGGTTCCGGGGAACCAAGTAAAATATGTAAAAGTTTACTCTTCATTTACGGAGCTAGTGGCTGCAAGTATACTGGTACCGGGTGAATGTAAGTTTTGGATGTTCTACTTCGGGTTTCCCAATATCGTCTCAGTTACGTTACTGTCAGTAACCGATTGGTAAAGGAGGATCGTAACATTCTGATTATTTAACAGATATTTAATTTATTTTACAGAAATATTTTTCTACATTTATTTATGATTCATTTTGAAAGTTGTAATAAACTCATTTTAACTTTCTATTGACACGATGAAATTTTGTTCTTTCAGAGGGTCATTCGGGTCATCAATGCGACTGCATGGAGTATTGGGAGTGCATAAGCGCCGGAGGAAAACCTTATTCTTACTGTGTTTATTCCAATAAAGTTTGCTGCTTTATCGATCAAAATGCCAAAACGGTGGGGATCCTTCCTAGAAGAGGGAAATCGACTTCCTGCGGACAGAAGGGGGTGGACAATAGAAAAGACGGTTTTTCAGAACCGGGGGAGTGGGCTTGGCACGTAAGATTATTACTTTTTAATTACACTCAAACGTTGGTTTCGTTTTTAGTTCATTTCCAAAATTTATAATGATTTTTCATTATAAATGATTTAATTTAATTAAGCAAATAATTTGCAATTACTCGTCCTTTAATATGTAAGTTATTTTAAAGCTCTTTCTTTCCGTGGACACTAAAGTGGAGTGAACACTATATGATTTTGCGGGCCGATCGTGGTTTGTTGACCGACAATGTCTGTGTAGAAAGCGAACTCCGGGCAACATTTTCCACCAGCAACTAGTCACGTGATTAGCATTTCCGAACAAAACGGCTGCTTCCATCAACAGACGTGTCTCATCATCCGAGACATTCGCCGATTGGTTGTTGATAACAAGAAGTCGTTTTTTCCAAACTTTCGGAAAACCAACGCTACCCAACTTTCTTGTTGGCAACACGCTTTGTGACGTCAAAGTCTGCCAACAGACTACGTTAGACAGCAAAACCATGTTCGTCCCGTTTAAGTGAGAGTCGTTAAGGTTTAAAATAGTTTTCGCGAAGATCTACAGACACCGCGAGGAGGTCACTCCAAATGGTGCCGAGTAAGAGCAACTCGTTTTCACAAATAAGAATATTCGAAACAGAGGAATGCGCCCTCGTCGTTTTTCGGAGAATGTCTTCTTACATTTATTTTTATTTCAAAGCAACAAAATGATTGCTTTGGTGTCGAGGTTGCTTCGCAGCATCATAAACACCGAGTGGATACGCCTCTGTGAATTTAAAATATAAACTTTTAGATCTTCCCGCGCAGAAACGTAAGTTTAAATGCATCTAATTTTGTCAATTAAATAATTTTATGATAGGCAGAGCTGGAAATGTACAGTACAAACGGAACAATAACTTTGAAAAAGATAACTAAATTAATTTAAAATCACCGAAGCAAAAATTGGAATTAATTAATTAAAAAAATCTTAAATATGCCTGTACTGTACATTGAACAACGAGAAGGGAGAAAAAATAAACCCATCAATTTAAAGATGGGTAATATCATCGAAAGTAAGTTATTGCTTTGTATGTGAATTGGAATCGATTATTAAAGCGTGATCGGCACAGTAAGTGCCCGACTGTTCACCTATCCAAAACTTGCCATCAATGTTTCGAGATTCTTTTAATGCTAGAAACTCGTTATAAAACAATTAATATGTAGCCTATATTAAAGGAATAGCGGTACTAAATTTTGTCCTAGTGGCTCAACTTTAAATTTTTTTCAAAATCGAAATTTGGCAGGAACATTTACTTTTTAAATCAAATTCGATTGAGATTTGCCCAATAGTTCTTTCTACAGACAGTTCTGGAAACATACTCTTTAATCACGACGATTCTGTATATTAGTAGGCTAATAAGAAAATCTAGCAACGAGTTGCTTAACTTTTCCGGCAACATTTTATGGCGCCGTCTGTTACGATAATTTATATAAAAACCTTATATTTTTAATTATTATAAAAGCTTAATTTCGAGGGTAGGGGTGGGTTTTACAAAAAAAATTGTAAATGCTAACAACGAGTAAAACCGCCATTAAGTCAGAACCTACTCGAGATATGCCACGACCTCCTTTATCTCCTGTCCCCTCGACCTTTAAACGCCAAAATTTAATAGCGTCGATCCTCCTAATACACAAACCTCCCTGCAAAATTTCAGAAATTTTCGACGAAAGACACGGGAATAAAATAGTTGAATAAAATTTTACTTTCCGCCACACGTACAGAAAAAACCCCGAATTGTTTCGAATTTCTCGACGTTTAAACGTATCCCGAGTGGACAGATTAAAAATATTTTCACTCGGCCAATCATTTAATTTGTTATTTAAGGAAAATCAAGTCTTTCTTATTACATAGTAGTGCAATAATTACCATTAACGTCACGAAAGACCGTTTCGTTTTAGTGTATTATTTTGCGAGGAGATGATTGGCCAGAGTTTAACGGGGATCTAGGGCAAATACATATTGCCACCGTATAACAAATTCAATTATTATATGAGGAAAAAACTCGTCCCGAAGAAACGGGAGCCAGGAGCAATTTTAAATAATTTAGGATTCAAAATATTTTCCAGTGGTGCCATCTTTTGTCCACTTATTAATTCACTTTACTATATTTATGTGACGACACTGCCGGACTCGAATTTACGGGAAAACGTTTCTCATAAAATTAATTGATAAGATCAATATAAAAAACTAATTACATTTTATAGTTTATTATAATTAATTCGATTCTAATTGTGTTTCGTGCCGAGTATTTTGCGTTTACGTAAGACGAGTGTCCGTATGTATGCATTTTGAATATTAAAATAGGAAAAGTCTGTGGGATTTTTTATCATTCGGGACTTTATTTATTTTCAGGCAGCAATTCTGGAGAAACCTCGCGATCTGTACGTATGCGGAGCGTCTTTAGTAGACGAATATTGGGTGATGACCGCGGCTCATTGCGTCGATGATTTGTAAGTATTCGGTGTCTAATACGTAATAAAACGTCGATTACTAACTACGTTTGGTTTTGTAGTGTCGATAGCAAATCGCTGAAGGTGCGCCTGGGAGAATATGACGTTCTAAGATCGAGCGAGCCTCAGAAGCACGAGGAATTTCAAGTGTCCAGAGTAATAATACATCCGGGTTTCGTTAACACTACCCTGTTGCACGACATAGCGTTACTGAGACTGTCCACTCCAGCAAAACGTCGCTCTCACATCAACACGGTTTGCATGCCTGGTAACGAGCTGTCGGAGAAAGCCTTAACAGCCTCTAAATGCATAGTCACGGGATGGGGAAAGAGAAGCGAAAGTAAGTAGAGACTCCAATTTAAATTCGTTCGTATATATTATGATATTTAATTTGATTTCGACTGATCGATCGACATTTTAAACATCATCATCGTAAGCTGTAATGAGATATTGAAAAAAGCGAAGCAACGCGCGGGAGATGTGCAAAGGGGAATGCCTCTCGAAAAAGTCTAATACTAACAGGGAAAAAGTCCCTGTTAGTATTCGTAGGGTGGAAACAGTCAGAAATGAAAAAAATATTTAATGCTTTTGCACATATTTGGTAAATTCTATAATATAAATAAACAAAATTATGGGTGTTTCTAAGTGAAAAGCAGTTAAATGAGCGAACCAATGGCACAGTCAGTTTAGCGGAATACGAAACGGCATTTTTGTGTTTCTTGTAAGTTTAAATAGGACCTTAAAGGCTTATAATAGGACCTTCTATATTATAGGGAGCCAATTTCCAATTGAAATTCCTCCTCTAGGCGCATCCCCTTGGCAGATCGATCGTGTGTTGCGTGAATCTTATATGGGCCCCATAATTTTGTTTCTGCAGTATCTCGTTATAAATAGTTTGTAAAGTAGAATTAAATCGGTTCTAAATCGAGGATTAGATTTTAGCCCGTGAAACAAATGAGAGTGTTTACTTTCCTTCGTTACTAAACACGTGAGAAAACTATTGTCTTTCGCGGTAACTATCGACTCTCTTTTAAGATTGGCAGATGTTGGAAGTCACGAAATCTTGAATGATTGTCGGATTTACTGATATTCTTATAACAGTTAACCGCCTACTTTCATATATTTTAAATGCATTAAATTATATATTAATGAGAACTTGTGTTACGTGTCGCAATTTCGTATAATTTTTGTTGAGAAGCACCTGTTAATTTTAATAATGTTTTCAACAGATTTCATAAGTTGAAACGAAACGTGATAATAAAAATTATATTAATACAGCCGAACCTCTAACAACGACCACCGATAAACAGCGGCCATTTTTCAACATTTTTTTCTTTTAATAAAAATGCGTACAAAATAACCACCGAAAAACGGTCACTTTCTGTGTTTTCATCAGTGGCCGTTGTTCGGAAGTTTGGCCGTATTTAATACCTAAATAGGGGCCAGTTTCCTTTAGAAAAACCTCGGGGAAGTAGCCCGTATCACATATTTAACACCTAAATAGGAGACAATTTCCTGTATAAAGACCTTCGGAAAGCACTCCCTCCTTGTCAATTCGGCCACGAGTTGGGTTACCTTATCCCATTAAACCAATTAACACTATGAAAATATTTCTTCTGTTTTTAATTTAATTTTATTTACATTTTAAAACTATCGATCTTATATTAAAAATTTTGACAGGAGGTAATCATTCGGTTGTTCTGAAAGAAATTATTGTCCCTGTTTGGAAAAATAACGATTGCGAGAGATCCATGAAACTGCAATTTGGTCCCAATTATCAGCTACCTTCTTCTGTCGTGTGTGCGGGAACGACGGGCAGAGATGCGTGTGACGTAAGTATACTTTTACTATCAGGATTTACTGTATAACAGTTAATTTTAATATTTTCTATTAAGTTATCGAAGGGTTGAACTCTGTAGTGGTGAGGTTGGTTTCCTTTAACTTTATATTTTGAAAAGGAAATTTGGGGAATAAACAGCATTTATTTATTATTCATTAAAACGACTGAATGTTTATGTTACATACCAGACAAACAGTAAACTTTTTATTTTTGATTTCGAAAGATTTCTCACCAACTTCAACTAAAATTATACTGTTATAAATATATTAATAATAACGATATTCTATCCCGAGTCCACCAGTGACCGAGCGAATAAAACCACCGAACACAGTTGGTCACTGGTTCGCACCTACCATCGGGCTGGCAACATATTTTCCGAGTTTTTTTTCACCCGTATAATCCCTAAATAGAAGCCAATTTCTCATAAAAAGTCCCGAGTTACCTTATCCCAACAATCTAATCAATGCTGTTCACATTTTCTGAAAGTAATCATCATTCATATCAGAGGGTAATGTGGGCCTAGTGCGAAACACATATTGGACGCCCACAGCACATTCAATTATATTAAAATACAGTACAGAAAGTACACGAAAAAAAACATTGTTTAGGGGGGCATTATTTCTAGGGGCCCAGGGCAATTTGTTTCGCACCTTACCATCATCATCATCATCAGTATGAACGAACACGATTACATCCGTTAGAAATTATTTTAAAATTAGAAAATTGAAATAATTTGGTGTTCGTAAATAGAATATACTTTTCTACTATATTTATAAAATGCTTGTTATAAATATATGAACGAAAAGTTGTATGCTTCAGCGTGAAGCGAAAGCAACGAGAGTCACGAGACCGGATAAGGAAAGTGGCTCTCCCGCGGGTTATACGTAAGAATGTTAACGAGTTTAAATATTAAATGCTTTTAAAAAGTATTTAACATTTAAAAGACGACCGTTTTTGAAAAAAGTGATATTGTTTTTGGATCATTATTTAGGAAAAATATTGAAAAATCGGATTATTTAGTCTACGCGGAAGAAACATTACATCTTTATTTATTTATTTATCTTACTACAAGTAATAAACACATAGAATCAATAACATTTTAAATGTGTTATTCAAGATTTTAGTTAAAAATAAAATATCTTTAATTATTTGTTTTATTAGTTTAAAATAACATTAATTAAAAGAAGAGAAATTTCTAACATGGGGTTTATTTTATTCTGCGAAAGAGCGATTAACAATGAGTAAAAAATCACTAATTTTTAAATTCGGTCGAAAATGTTATAACATTATTTTATTTAGTAAATGTAGAAAATTAGAAAATATTTACTGAAAATTTTTGAATTAGGTTTATTGTATAAATGACGGTAAATCTATGGCAGATAATTATATTTTTCTTACGTTAATAAAATTGCATCAATGGATTGATTAGACAAAGCATCGCAACACGTGGCCGACTTTTCAAGGGCACTTCTTGGTAGATCGTCCGTGCTAAGGGGCATCCCGAGAAGACTTCCTGCGGGAAACTGATCCCTATTTAGGTATTAGACAAATGAAAACTCTCTTAACTCCACGTGGCCAGCTCGTTGTTCGGGCGCGAACCCGCGACCAGTGTTGTTATAATTATCCTCTCGGCAATTAGTGGGTATCGCATTGACAAATCTTCCCTGTGTTATCTTAGTTCGTCAATCACTACGTTACACCGTCTTTGTGTACTTATTAATGTAGAAAGGACGTGGATTAGACAATGTGAAAATGGATGATGTCGCACTATCGAGCGCGGTTAAATACTGTCTCCGTCTTCGTGTAAATAAATCACTACCGCTGCGTGTCACTCGCTTCAGTAACACTCTGTTTGTCGATGGTAATCTTTTCTCTATTTAAGGGTACTACTTTTTTCTTCTCCATCACGGAAGATAATCGACGATGCGTACGCCCGCATTTTCATTCAAAACAGAAGTTTTTGGTCCAGAAAGCCAACCAATGCTCGTTAACTTTTAATTTTAATTAGTATTAACGAGTTACAGTTGTTATTAATATTGCCACGAATAACCGAATTATTTTATCCTTAGGGTGACGGAGGAGGTCCTTTAGTGTGCGAGAAAAATAACCATTGGTATCAAATTGGGATAGTGTCCTTCGGAATTGGGTGCGGAAGACCGAACGTTCCCGGAGTATACACCAGAGTTCATAGTTATAAACAATGGATTCACGACGTAGTGTTGAATTCCTGATGACTCGTCGAATAATAAAGAAATTTTCATAATTTTAAAATGAAGAAAAACAAATTCCGAAATCTAGAAAAGACTGATATATCGGCGCTCCGTCGGAGCGGATAATGAAATAAGTGTAAATAAAAATTCGTTTAAAGTATTTAAATAAACTGAATAGAGATTTTTAACTTTCAAAAATTATAAATTATTAATCTACGTGGCCCACCAGCGAATAAAACCACCAAACGATAGTAATTGATCGCGGGTTCGTTACCCGATCAACGCTCGAACATCTAAATAGGGTACCGAATGGTTAAGGTCCCAGCCTACCGCTGAGGGTGACCGGGATCGAACTGCCAGGAATTTTTCGGAGGATGTTCCGTCCGAATATGTCAGGCACCGATCCTCGCTACCTGGCCAGCTCATTGTGGGCTTGCAAAAAATTCTCCGGTCGAAAACAATCGAATTAATAAATACGTAAAATACGTGGAAGAGAGAAATTCTTTGGCTTAAGCCTACTCTCCTTTTATACGCGCGATTATTGGCGGAAAATTCCTCGAATTTTGCAAAGTTTATTTTTAATAAATTTTGCTTTTAATAATAGAAGAATGAAGTTAAATTCATTGCCGATATTAATCAAATTAGAAATCAAAAACTTTTTTTATCGTTCCGTCTACATAATTGGTAAAATTTGAATATTTTCGAATATAGATTGACAGGAAATTCGAAATTAAACGTAAAATGGATATTTTGATTTTTGCCGTTTTAATTATTTTCTCCAAGTTTTGTCAGAGCAAACACTTCGTAGATCTAGTCCAGAGGTACGAAGTGGTTCATTTACGAGTGACGAATTACGTTTACCACAATTCTCTACGTCTTAATTACGAGACTAGAATTTATTTTAATGCCTTTGGCACGAATTTTTCACTCTCGCTTCGGCCAGACGAAAATTTTGTACCGAAAGACCTCGAAGTATCGATTAAGAAGAACAACCGGACGTATAACGAGAGCATCGACGATATAAAGGGGGAACTCTTATACCAAGGATCAATGGTCGATGCAAAAGGTTCTTACGTCTTCGGTTATTTTGTCGATGGCGCTTTTGCAGGAACGATAAAATTCCAAGACGAAACATTTTATGTGGAGCCTGCAAATAAACACCTGGAAGACGTTTCTGACGGAAAGAAAATTGTAGTTTACAGAGAAAAGGACGTTCGTAATCCTTGTTCTAAACTAGAAAACGAAATGTGCGGTATGCAGAAAGACGAAATAGAGAGAATCGATCCTCTTCGTAACAGTAGGAATTCGTGGAAGAGTAGCGAAAGGGGTAAAATTTGCGACTTGGAACTAATATCGGATCACACGTATTTCTGGGAAATGAACGGAGACCCGAAACTAGTAATTAAAAGCATGTTTTATCACGTCAAAGCCGCCGACGCCATTTTCAGAAAGACGGATTTTGACGGAGACGGTAAGCCGGATGGTGTCGGATTTTACATCAAGAAAATTACTATATTCCAAGATTCTAACGTGATGGACTACCCCATGAGGGAAGTGACCAATTCTTCCTATCAATTTTTGGACGATTTATCCCTTTACATTCAGCTTCGATGCCTGGCAATTTGCTTCGCGCATAGAGAATTTGCGGAGAACGTCGTCGGGATGGCTTATCGAGCGGGCAAAGGATTAGATTCGACCGGAGGAATTTGTCAAGCTCCCCTCCTCCTGGAAGACTATCGCTGGCACAGCTTGAACGTGGCTTTTATCTCTTCCTTCGGCCCCAAACGTCGCCTTCCGGATAAAATAATCAATCATGCCTTAACGCACGAGTTGGGACACAGTTTCGGTAGCCCACACGACAATTCTTTCGATCCTGTCTGCAGTCCCGGTTATCTAAACGGAAATTACATCATGAGCGAGTTTACTAACGACGGGAGCCTGCCCAACAACGTTTTATTTTCTCCTTGCAGCCGTGCCAGTATTTATGACGTCATGAAAACGAAAAGCTTCTGTATGTTGAATTCCGTCGGCACTTTTTGTGGGAATGGGATCGTCGAGCGCGGAGAGGAGTGCGACTGTGGTACCAACTCTACTTGCGATTACATCGATCCGTGTTGCGTTCCCATGAACGAGGGGAGCGACGATAAACAGTGCACTGTCAGGAGGAGTAGAGGCTACGCGTGCAGCCCTAGAGGAGCCGCGTGTTGTAATTCGTCTTGTCAATTCGTTCCTAAGGGCCCGCGCAAAATATGTAATAGCGATAATCCTTGCGACAGCGATTCTTTCTGTACCGGAAACTCAGAATTCTGTTCGCCGATTAGCCACGTTCCCGACGGAACACCGTGCCGGGGAACTTATTTTACTTGCTCGTCGGGCGTCTGCAACGTCACTATTTGCCACGCGCACCATCTCAAAACGTGCGACTGTCCGAATGGAAGCGGCAAGGAGTGCCACGTTTGTTGCGTGGAAGAGAAGACGAACACGTGTAAATCCGCCGCGGAATTAGGCTTTTATACCCCTTCCGGTAAATTATATCTGAAGCCGACAGGCGTGCATTGTACACCTCGCGGCGCCCGGGTCTGTGACCATTTAGGAAGCTGTGTGGCCAGATACAGAAGTAACCACGTGGCCAAAATCGCAATTTTTGTTTGGGTCAAAAAGTATTGGTTGCATTTATCGTCGTCGATTTTATTATTACTTTGTATTTTATATTTAATTTGGCGTATTTTGTATCCAGTTAAAAGAAAAAATGTAGCTAATGTGAAGCTGACCAGCGTGCGTAGAACTGAAAGTAACAACGGACCACGTATCATTAACGATCGGTAGAGTAAAATTAATTAAAACTTTTTCATTCTATCTATTTAAAATGATGAACTTCTTAGGGAATTAACAGGAAATTTTCAAAATAAAAGAATTTGACGTAAAATATAACTGGCGGACATTCAGTAGCAATCATAGACGTATTTATGTATTTTATAACTTAATACAGTTCATAGTAGAGTAACGAACAGATGCGAAGATCTAAGAATAATAATTCTATTTTAATGACAGAAAAGTAATTTTATATCGTGATATGGATGGAAGAATTACGTAGAACACATCAGGGTTGCTGAACCTATTGAACTTCCTGTTCCTTTACGGTAATAAAACCGAAAATTACCGTTTTCTATAATAAACAGTTATGTCTGGTTCATAAATCAACCGTAATTTACCGATTCGCAAAATTATTTTATTCTCTGGTCACCGGTAAATCGGAAAGGGTTTGTAAGCGATTGGACAATAGAATTCGAATTTCTGACGGGATGACGGGTAAAACGGACAAGAATGGCTTGTTTGTGAGGTGGATCGGGCAAACGAGTCGGAGGACGAAAAGTGATAAATATTGCACACGGTCGGTTTGAAAAGAAAATAAGGCGTTTTCCGCCAACAGAATGTCTCCTTGTTACCAAGAAAGAGAGACGTCACTCGCCTAGGTGATACGTCGACACCCTTCATTGTTATTTTCACAAAAATTATCAACGTATCGGAGGTGTTAGAGCATGAATTAGTTCGAATTATTAAGATGGATCTTCCTTTTTGTGACGAAATCGGACTCCGAACTTCCGAGATGTTTGCTTTAGGCTTAGAATTATTTTCAACGGATAATCAAAAAGAGTAAGAAAAACAGCCCGATTTACATTACACAATCCTTGTTTAACGCAGTAACTCCGGTTACATAACGAACTGTACGTTCGACTAGCATTTTTACTGCCTGGCCAAAATGATAGTCGAATATACAATTCAATTTAGCGCATTGAAAGAGGCAAAAAATTATATGGCAGCGACGAGAAATCTTTAGGGGGTGATGCGGAAAGGAAACTATGTAGCCTACCCTATAAAATTTTTTACTACCCGAGGTCTCGGGATTTACTCGGGAAAAACCCTAAGAAGAGGGTGCAGCTCTCCTAAATCCACCCCCGGTCAAGAATGACTAGCCTACAAAAATGAAATCTCGGAAAGGATTTTATGTGTGAGAGAGGGATGGGATTTTCGAGGGTGGGAGCCAGTCGAGTTTAAAAGCTTAATAAATGCTCTGTTATATTCGATGTCAAATTACTAGAACGAAACTATCGGTTTAGTGCATAACTTTTCTGAAAATGTTTGCAATTTCGAGCGTGTACACTACAGCAGTATCGAAATTACACGATATAATGTAAAAAGGGGTTGACGCGAGTTATATATGACGAAAAATAATTTAAAAAAATACAATCCAATCCAATTTTATAAAGTCTTCTCAAGTTTGACAAAGTGACAAGCTCGTTTGATGTCAGGTTTAAGAATAAGAGACTTCTATAGAAAACCAACGATGCTGTAATTTTTAATCTTCTTGATTCGATTACTTTCCCTCGGTTAAACTTCCTACTTTCAGCATGCTTTGTTCAAAGAGGTGTAACGAACCGTAAGAGTGGCAAAGTACTAAAGTACCAGCAATATACAGTAGTTAAGGGAGTGGAAATCAAGGTTAAGTGCGAATCTCTTCGCTCGTCCACTTCTTCTCTTTGTCAATAACTCACAATTACTTCGAGGTCCAATTGTCGAAAAGGTAAGGAATTGCGTTTTTTGCACCGGAATTTTGAACGTAAGTAGGAAACATTTAAAAATTTTTAATATATTTTCTTACAAGTATTGACAATGGAATGGAAGGAGAGCAACATAAAAGCCATCCAACTACTTATATTATTATTGGTACGAAATTCACTTTATACAATTAACTTAATTATAAACGTTTGTATTTAATAATTAATTAGAATTAATTAATTAAATTTTATCATATTTAAACCTATTTATATATGTTTTCAGCCGTCCGTAACTTTCGCCCAAAATTACGAAGGCAAGTGTCAAGTGCTTATTTATTACATTAAACGTATAAAATCGTTATCTAGTTTATTAAACTTTTATCTTATCTGTTACGAGTTAAATAAACAAGTGAAATTAATTAGAATTTGAATTATTTTATGAATTTTAAATACCTACTCATTGCCAGTAGGGTAAATGGCACCGGTATTAAGAGGATCCGATTTAAAACGCGCTAACCTACAGCTCACCACCGGTGCGAATAAAGAGTAACGTCTTAGATGTTGTGTATATACAATAAGTAAGTGCGTTTGTGAGCTGTATCCAAGCAAATTTGTAGAATTTTCCACGAATTTGAATATTTTTGCCACCGAAACTCACTCAAGTTGGTAGAACGAATTTCTCCAGAATTTGAGTGCGTCCGGAACGTTCGATAGTAGAGTAATTGAAGCGTAAATATTCCGCTAAACACGTGTATGACCCTTTTGCATTACGTGCTTTCAAATTGTATTCAATACAATACATTTCTTTACCCGATAAAATTTTCAATGGCGTCGTATCGGAGCGAAACGGTAACTTTTTACGAAAAGTACGTCGCAAGTCGCGAGTTGAGAATAAAAATAAATTCTATTTTTGTAATATTTAATTCACGGACGAATTCTTTTACTTTTATTTTCCTTTACGTTTGTAGACGCTTATAAATACTAGAGTTTCCATAGAATTTGAAAAGGAGATTTTACTTTTATCAGTTTATAACATTCGCTGCCACGACACCAACTCTCTGGGAGGAGCGGAAGTTTTCACTGCCGTTTTGAAAAAGCCCGACGGGTTCAAAGGTCATCCCATTTTTGCAGAAAACAGAAACATTAGGGCGGCGGCGGACGAAGAATGCCAGATTCGAGAAGACAAAACCAATCCGTCCAACGTCGTTTACAGGTTGAAAGTTTCCGATTACGTCAAGTGTCCGGTGGAGCGGAAAAACGTAAGAAATACTGAAAGTGCGGGGAGAATCGATGGCTTAAATGCCAGAATTATTTTTTATATTTTGCAGGAATTTGTTTCGGTCAGAATTTGGTTTCCTCAGTTGGACGGAATCGTCATGGCCGACGATCAAGATGTCGTCGTTAGATGCAAACCTCCGTTAGCCATTGTCACCGAACAGAAAGTTACTTCTTTCTCCGGAAGCATGTAAGTGTTTTCATAGATTATTGCATAAAAGTTACGAACAAGTTTGCATTTCCACCGAAAATAGAATCTTAAAGTTTCCTTTATGATTCTACTTCTGATACTTTCCGACTTTCCGATCCTTCGAAAATCTCTCGCATCGATTGCTAAACGTCTAGTCTAAAATATTATAATTTTAGGCCTCCGAGTGGAAGAGTTTCGGGAGTGGTGGAAGGAGATCCCGGAGAGCTGGTTTATAATATAGGATTATATCAGGAATCAACGCCTAGGAGTAATAATTTCGATTTAGACGTGGAAGAAATTGTTCCGATAGGAACGATGCTGCAGCTTAGAGCCAATATCAATAATAAATCTGGTAAATTTTTAATGTTTTATATACATATGCAGTATATAAAATTTAATATTTATATGTGCGCGTAATATATAAAAATATTTAACAACGTAGCCTGGAAGTACGTCAAACTATTAGAAGTGACAGTTTCCGCCGACGAGAACGACCCTTATCATAAAGGACACATAACATTAGTTAAAAATGGGTACAGTATAAATATTGCAAACGATTTAGATTTTCATAATTCGAATTTTCAGTGGTTTAAAATATTTTAATGCTTTAAAATTAGGTGTAGAGTTAAAGAATACGACACTATCGTTCCCAATCAACCTAAGAGGCCCGCGGATAACACGGCGGAAGTCAGCATGAATTTTCAAGCATTTCTACTGGACAACACGGAAGAAAATGGGAAACTATGGATACACACGCAGATCAAGGCTTGCTTGGAGGCCACCGATTGCTTAGCGGTAATTTATTTTTAATTTCTCTTTAATTTAAATGGGACTTAGTCTTAAATTGCGCGCTTATTTCTCTACAGGAATTTTGTTTGGATTTGTATCAGCCTTCGGGCCACGGAAGGAAGAGGAGAAGTTCGGATAATTCCACAGGAACTAATCGACACGCGAGAAAATCAGATTCCACTTCCATTGGCGAAAATATCGGAATAACAGTATCCTTGCCTGGAAGTAAGAATTTTAAGTTTTCTCTTTTAACCGGTGCTTTGAACTTCTTTTTTAAAAACTTTTTCCGCTCTTTGGGCATTAAAAGGGCCTTTTTAATAAGCTCACAATGGAACGGCCGGATGGTGAGGGACGAGGCGTGACATATTCAGACAGACCATCCCGAAAAATTCCTGAGGGTTTCGACCCATCCGCATTCGATCTGAGCGGCTCCCTCCGCTCTGATCGGAAACTTTCCGTTTAGGGGGACCCGGCTGTCTGCTTTAAAGATTAATAAGCTAGCGTACAGTTGCGGTCTGGTTACAGATCTAGCTCTTTGCTACTTAATGAAAACTTTAAAATGTCTTATTTCTCACATACACATAAAGAATTGATTTTGTGGCCCCGATTTGTGCTCAAACGTACTGTTTAGATCCCGGTCTAGGGTCCGATCCGAGGCTTCATAAAGATACCATACTAAGAATCGTAGACAGTGCTTACGAGAATTACGGATAAAACAAAGCTTGTTTCCTGTTTTAAAGTAGTTATCCTAATTTTCAAATATCATTGTTTACATCGGTGGCGCGTGACATTCACCAAAGCAATGGCATTTCAAATTGCTGGAGATATGCACGACGAAGTAGCATATAAACACGAAAACTTACATACTGCTGTATAAATATAGTGCCTTTTAGAAATAATGATAAACAATAAATAATTTTCTATAAATAATATTATATTTAGACTTAAGCGTAGAATAATGATTTGTAAATTTATTTTCTTTAAACAATTTCTTACCTCGTATTACTCTTACTTCTAAAGCGTGGACGGTTTACATTTCATCTTCGAAGCTTTCGAAGTTTCTTCTTTGATTATGGGTTTATAAACCGAGTAACGAGAGGTCAAACGATATTTTTACGAAAAGTGTCCATTCCCTTCGCTGATCTTTATGTCCTTCCAGTCTCCCGAAAGATTAGTTTCGCGAATAAACTTTGTCATTATCATAAAAAGATGCGCTTCGTTCTAGCCGACTCCACGGATAATCGAATTTGTCTGTAATGTAAATAATTGAGATCGACCATATAAATCATTGTAATTTCTATAGGCTACTTTCAACTTTTTTGATTTTGATCCGAATAAGGTTTTCATCGACGGCCGAATGACCCAAGCTAAATGTCAGCACGCTGCTCTGAGAACCTGAGATCGAATCCGGGAGAGAGACGGGACATCCGGGACAGATCGCTGGTGAAAAATTTCTAAATGTGCTCGCCCGGATACGATGCCCGGTTTCCCAGAGCATCCGGTAGCGAGTGGAAAAACCACTGAACGTGGCGGGTTTGCGTTTGATTAATGGGCTGGAGACTTATAGTTTCCGGATTATATTCGTGCGTATAGTGCTTTAAATAGGGCCAGTTTTCCATAGAAAGTACTCCCGGAATGCATCTCCTTGGCAAATTGCCATACGTTGCGTCGTCGTATCCCACTAAACCAAATTTTATCGCCATACAGTCGTACCTTTCGAGATAACCGCCGCCATTCGCGACGCATCAATCGAGCCGATTTTCCCATCGTCGAAAACATTCCCCAATTACTGCTAAGTGATATCTTTAACGTCATTTTACGATTCTGACTTTAAGATCATTCGAATTATGCGATCTCGTTAAGTACACGAGTCATGATAAATAATGTTTGAATACACAACACGCAACTATCCTTTCGTGTATTTTTGCAGTTCTTATTCAATTCCGTACATTCATTGTGTACGCAATATTAATCTTTCCACTTTCAAATTTGTAAATTTTGATCCGCATCTTGAATTTATCGTAAACAGAATTTAGAAATCTCCCTTCTAATTGGACAATGTTATCTCAAAATCTTCTTATTGGTTTAAATATGAAAATATTAGGGCACTATCGATTTAATGGCACAGCGTTTAACGTGTACGAAATAAATTTCCTTTAGCAGACGTCTGCAAATAGTGACGTCAGAGAAATTCGATAATTGTACAGTCGATTTTAGGCATGATGCGCGTAATCGTTTTTAGAAGCGAGAAGATCGCGTGTCTGACAGAACAGTTGGAACTTCTGAATGTACAATACACGTAGATGAAAAACACAGAATGTTTCGTTGGGGTGGAAAGGGGGAACGAAAGGGTGAAAGAGAAAGTAAAAGAAAGAAAGAAAAGATTTCTTATGCTTGACAACACAAACAATGTGTTAAAGGTGACAATACTTGTCAGCGTTGGCATCCCTCTAAGCTCGCTGTATGCTAAAGATTCTATAGTTTCGTGCAATTCTGTGGTATTGCTCCTCAGGATTCTTCTACAGAAAGCTAAAAAAAAAGAGATCTAACGGTGCAGACAGACGAGAGTGAGAATATCTGCAGAGCCAGACACAGTAAATGCCACAGAGATGATAGGAAAACTTAACTATCTAACGTAAAGAAATATTACTTTAAAATGATAGTACTGGAACTGTGTGAATAAGGTGACAAAACTGCAACACAGACGATGATGACGCGATTCCTCACCTCTTTCAAATCCTCTCACATAATATCATCGGCGGGTAATCTGCGAGTAAAAGTAAACGGGTGATGAGAGTTAGTACTGTATTTACGTAATTTTTTTATGAAAATAATCCTTTTATAAGGTCTGACAATTTTTCTTTGGTTAAATCACTTCTGTCTAGACAGTTAACCAAGGATTGTGGCTAAAAAAACCTTTAAAAACTCCCCTTCTTAGGCATTTAGAGAATAATCGCTACTTATTTGATGAAAACAATCTGGACAGGAATTTTTTAACGGTTTTTACCATAATTATACCAACTACACGAAAGGGAAATAAAATTTTAGCTACTTAATATTACGAATATTTCTTATAATTTCCATTAGTACTCAGTAAGAGTACTAATGGAATTTCGTCTAAAACTTTCGTAAGGTTATGGATTGAGTCATCGACATTCTCTGTTGACGACTCAAACGGCAATGATGAATTGCTTGCGAGGAACGGCTGCTTGCAGGCTTTTGTCTCACGAAGGACAAAATATACACTTTTTAAATAAACTAATCGAACAATTGTTTCATTAAAATTATGTTTCTTAAATATCTCGTGAGATTGAATAATGAAAACATAAAAAAATCGATGATAATGTAGTTTTCCAAACAGTAGCCCACAGCTCCTGCCATATTGCTGAAGACTCCACATTGAAAGCTGTGCCATTTATTCTTAAAGCGCCTGCTGAATGCGAGAGCTTTTAAGTGAAATACCGTATATTGATTCGCATCACCAGAGTCTACAGGGTGTAGACTCTGGTGGACTTCATTTTTAAAGAGAGTGTAGACGAGAGACTCGCGACACGCTACGGATCTTAAATTCATATAACCCGTATTTCATATACTAATATAGAATTTCTTGCCAATTGCTGCCAACGAGCATCGCAGCATCCCTCCGAGATTCGTAAAGAGTACAAAAATTAATTTTATTTACATGCTTACGTAATATCAAGGTCATTTATTTAATTGACTAATTTATGTTTATAATTAAAGCTAATTCTTTTGATTTTAAGGTCTTTAAGGACAACTTTCATTTTAATTTACATTTGTACGGATTTTTTCATTGTAATTCACGCTTGAAAGTGGCCGCTCGCTGCGTCATTTTCGTCATCACTTTTCAATATTATTTTATTAAATTGAATCTTTTATTCGAGCGAATAATTTTTCGGCAAAATAACGTATTTGATTATTATTTTTCGGCAGAAGATTCGACGTTTAAGAAGTTGGAAAGCATGGAGACTTGTACGTCCTTCTTGGCCTTAACTGCCGTGTTGGCAATTCTTTTATTATTGTCTATTTGTCTGTCCGGAATACTCTACCGTCACATACAGCGATTACGAATAGAATCCAAGTTACTTCCGATTTACTTGGGATCCACGTCGAAGGTCGTCGATAGAAAAAATTTCAATCCGAAGAAGGAAACGATCGAATGTGAAGATAAGAAGAGGAGCTCGTGCAGAAAATTTCGACTCGGACACCCGAAATATTGAAGATTTACTGTTCGAGATTCTCATTATAAAAGAACACGAGGGTTCGCGTGAGTTGGTGCCACGGGTTTACGTACATTCAAAATTTTCTTTAGGTGAAAGACTATCGTTTCGTCTTTCCACTCGAATTCTTTAAAAAATTCTATCGTAATGCGCACAAAACTCAAACTAAAAAGCGAAAATTTCATTATGGAAGGTACTGTACCGTACATATTTGATAAAGCGCACGAACGAAGCATGGCGGGGTCTGACGCGCGTTTTAGAGTGGACATCTATCGAGGCGCGGTAAACCGCTTCCAATTGTTTGTCTCACAGCCTGGCCCAAGCCAAACCGTATTGGTCTCTTTCCTTTGATAGATCGTTGCTCACCGTATGTTCAGTGTGGTGGTATTACACTTCCATTTTCTTTCATTTCCTGCAAACGAATTGCCTCGACATTCCATACACGGGAATCCTCAGTCTGTAGCCTGAGGCAAAATGAGGCATTCCGTGAGATCCCGTCGTACCTCATTCGCGTGGGTGCTCAAATATGTACTCGTCATTATATATCCTCGCGTCCTTACCATCACGTTTTCTTGTACTTTCTAATTGTTAAAATAAAAAGGTTTAATATATTCGGAATAAAATATAATAACTTAATTTGTTTCGTAAAGTTTAAATTCAAATATCTTTTAATAAAAAGTAATTTCTCGCGCGGATAATTAAACGCTTTTATTAATACTCTCAAGAGGGGTATTGGGTTGTAAAATAAGGCAAAAGAGAATATCCATAACGGGAGTAGGCAAAATACTCATGAACCAAAACCTGATTAGATCTTTGATACCCGCGCATCTGTAAGTGTAGTTTGGATTTTCCACTAAAACGGCCTCTTGTAATGTTTCTATGACCTCTAAAATGTTCGTTCTGGCTGTCTGTTGCGCTTTTAACAGAGATTTTCTGAAAGCCTCGAAATAGTCTTGGCCGTAAGATTCCTTCACTATATCGGGTGTTTTCTGCCAGTTATTATCTAAACCTTTGTTAACTGCGTCTTCTGTGGTCATTCTCGTCCTGAAAAAGAATAAATCGTTGGCGGTAATCTGCATCTACTCGACGAAATGCTATTTATTATTTTACATTTTTTTACCTGTATAAACCCGGTTCCACTGTAATCACTTTCACTCCCCATTTCTTCATTTCTCTTCTTAACCCGTCGGCGAAGGAAACCATGGCGTGTTTGCTCATACTGTAACCGACGAAACCGGGATACGTAAAGTGCCCTATTAATAAAAGGATTTTCTTTATTTAGAATGTTACGTCTCGAAACGTACGCCAATGATATACGAAATTATCGGGTGTCCGGATTCGAATTCTCGTAATGTATTGGGGATAGGTCGAGCGATAATCTCTGCCTCTCACTGGCGTAGATCGATCCCACGGAAGGATATTACATCACATTAGCTTCGATAGTAACTAGAAACTAAAGCCATAATCTGAACCATCGCGGAACAAGAACAAGAACAAGATGGCGGATAGAAATGTCAGCGGAAGTTGTTAGCTGTATTCGAAAGTAATTAATTATTTGACTAACTCTATAAAGTTTTGTAAGTTTCTAAAAACTCATTTTGATTGTGGTAGTATAAGTGGAGTAAATATTAACACCTAACTAGAAGATAGTTTACCATAGAATGTTCTCCCGGATGGCACCACCTTGGCCTATCGTCCACGTGTTGCGTTGCGGTCTCCCATCAATCAAATCCAATCATTCTCAATACTAAAGAATTAAAATGACAATCTCGTAGAAATTTAAAGACTTTGGAAGACTTTGAAATACAGTAGAGCAGTGTTTTTCAACCTTCTTGAATACGCGACCCCTTTACAAGTTAAAAAATTCTGGCGACCCCCCATAGGGCCATATTAAGATTATATCAGTGATTTTAAAAACTATGAATTTAATTTTCTTTCTGTTGAGACAAATTATTGTTGATTAAAATGAAAATTTCGGAAGAATCGACAATAACTTAACACACATAAAGTATGAAACTTCTTTAATTATAATATTGGGCACAGGGAGCTGTTGACCTCTTTTTTAGGATCAGAATTTTCAGCTTCTACTTTTCTACTTTTTATTTCTTTTTGCAAATCAGCTCAACTATTTATCGGCTATCATTTTCTGGGGCGGGCCGTAATTCTTGCTGAAATTGTAGTTTTTTTTTTAATGAAGTGTAGGACCTACAAACACTTGTCTTTCTCTTTTACCCGCGACCCCCCTGGGGGTCGCGACCCACAGGTTGAAAAACACTGCAGTAGAGCATCGATTATCCGACCCCTTGATTAACCGTCACCTCGGTTAACCGACCGTTCTAGTCCGCAAATTCAAATGTCTGCTAGTGATGTGGCGCTACAATATTTGGCTATGTCTTGGTTACTTTAATATTATTTTTATGTGTTTTCACTGGCAACACTGGATCGACCATGAAAGGGAGCCAGTATTTAAACGAGGCTTAATTTTCTAATTTTTAACGATACAATAGCGACGATTATTATTTAAAAAAAAATTGATAGGCTTAACATGGAGGAAAATTCAACGCGAAGTAGGTTAATAGCGATATACTAATATACTAATTACATGGGATATAATAATATACTACACTAATAATGGATTTTTTCATACTTTTCGGTTATCCGACTTTTCAATTATCCGACCAACCCCAGTCCCCAATTGAGTCGGATAATCGATGCTCTACTGTATTTCATTATTTAGGCTATCCTCGCAGATATACCACATAAACTTACATCGAGTTATACCTTTCACAATCTGTCACCTAGACGTACGGTACAACAAATTATCTTTATTACTACGCACAGAAGACCAAGTGAAAATATACAGTATTATTGTTAATACTGTACATTTTCACTTGTTATAGACAAAAATTATTGTTACAAAAGTTAATACAAAAATTATTCATTTTACTTATAAAGTTGAGTGTACAATCTAATTAAATAATAGGTGATCACAATATAAAGGTCTTTTCGATTGGTTCATATACGCACATTTTTACGTATATTTGACGCCATTGTTCAGAAGTTTTCTTGTAAAACTGACATAATGACGTAAAATTGATTAAAAATGTACACTATTCCAACCAATCGAACAGGGCCTAAATCTTTTATGGTGTGTTCGACTGGTTGGGTTTTAACGAATGATTATAACACAACGTACGCAATTACAGATGATTTTATTTCTGATCACTCGTCTCTTTTTTTATTAATGTACCATTCTCCGAAGAAAAACTCTCAGAAAGGCCTCGTTTACGTAACGTAAACAAGAGGAGAAGAGAAAATGCCCGGAAAGAACTCAGCGCGTAGACGTTTAGAAACTCGCCGATACAAATGCAAAAGCTGAAAAGTTTAATGAAATATTACTGTATTATGTAAATAAACAACTACCAACATATACACAGAGAATATCGCGATCTAAACATAATAAACAATAGTGTTATCTGTTCCTTTTCGTCGAAGCTAAACAACTTATAAACACCAAAAGAGAATACCAAAAAAAAAAAAAAAATTAAAGATGAAAAAGAATATATTAGAGAATCTTCGGGACGATAATCAGGAACCTCAAGTGAAACTAAGTCGATCCTCCCACAAAATTAATTTTTTTCGCTAATAGAAAAAAATTCTTAAGACTTTTTATTAATAAAGCATCATTTTAATTTTGTTCAAAAATGTGGTGGAATCTATTAGAGTAATGGACCCACTCACGTAATCCACTTTATTGCCGTATTCGGCAGATTCCGAATCCCGAGTATCGCTGGAAGATCGATCTCTGGCCACCGAGTACTATCCAAAAGAGCCTTTATACAATAATAAATAAGGAAATTGAACAAAGTCAACGAGGTGTGGACCATCGGATCGGCAAAATTGGAAAATCAATGCGAAAATAAATAGAAATAATTAAATCTCTATGGCATCTTTTCCTACCCGACCCCATTAAATTCTAACAATTAAAAAGAAAATATTCCGTAATGAAAAAAGCGTGCATCTAAAGTATCTGATGTTGGAGCAACAAAATAATCGATCGTAATACCTCTGGCGGCATTAAGAGGAATTGGAGAAATTCGAATAACTTACGGAAGATCAGATCGAAGCACTGACATCCACGGTACAAAATGACGCGGTAGTTCGATATCGAATCATTCGTTGGGTATTAGGGGAGATGTTCGAGTGGCGTATTAAGCCAGCCGAAAGAATATCCTGCAGGATAAAGCGAATTGGAGTGACGAATTAATAACACCGCGTCGCTTCATTGCAAAACTTAGAAGGATTCGTCAGCATTCTTTTTTAAAATGATCATCGTTAAAAGTCCGTGGCTAATTACGTACGCGGCGTATAACGTAAGGACAGCCAGCTCCCGGAAAAACGAGTTTTGGAAGAACTAGAGATATTTAGAGGTCGTCAGTCCGTGTTATTTACGTCGCCGCGCGACAAACGTCGATTCGAATTTCGACAACAAACTTGTAGAAATTCTTTTCAATCTCAGAAAACGCGAAGAACAGGAAAAAAACGGAAGCGCGAACACGGGGACGATCGTTCTTCCGGTTCGTAACTTTTTATTATTTGACCAAGGTCGTTGGTCGAGCTTCGAATTTGTCCTTTAAGAAGAATGCGGCCAAATCCGAAACGAGTCCGAAAAACCAGGGAATCGGAAAATGTTTCGTAAACAAAATGTAAATTACTTCCCTAGAAATCGTGACCGGCAAATAAAATACAACAAAGAGGAAATTCCTTTTAAAGGACGAAATGGCTAAAATCGATGCGTGATTACGTACACTCGGATCATTACGTAAAGATAAGTTGCGTCAAAGAAAACGAGTTTTTATAAGACTAACGAAACTTCCGGTCTACTGCGGCGCAGGCATAAAACCTTACCGGGAAAGGAGAACGGATTAGAAATTCTCAAATAATTTGTATAAATATTAAAAAACTTTAAATAATTAATAATTTAAATGCATTTATGATAATTCTACCCCTACGATTCGGGTCCCGATTTATCCTTCGGTGTTTCGATCACGCTTCGAGGGGTGGTGTTTTCTTATCGATCGACCCTTTCGTCGTCGACTCGCTAAAATTCGAGACGAGGTGACATAATCCGACGAAAACCGAAAACTATTTCCGGCGCTACTTTCCGCTCTTTATCCGAAAAGTAGCATCGGAATGAATTCGAATCTTTTATATCCGGAGATCGAGGCCGTATCGGAGTATTGACGCCCTAATTTAATGTTAATTACAAAAAATTCTACGGGCTTTTCTTTCAACGGACTCGGTTTGGTGTCCCAAGGTCGGAGGCCCGGGGCACGTTCCCACCCTCGCCCCCTTAGTTACGTCTTTGCCGGACTAATCTTAGTCTCTAGGCCTATAAATATCTTCGGAGGCTATTATTATATTCTTAACGTCTTACAGTCCTAAACGTCACGATCGTCGCCCCGAGAATCGACCGACGCGCCTCTACATAATCACTATACGGTGGGGCCATCGTTACATTCGAGTTAAAGGTTTTATCTACGAATTGCGAAACATTCGATTCTAGTTCTCGCCTACGATAATTATAACCTATTTTCTCCTCTCCTAAATATTAAATCTGGGCGATAGGATTGACTTAACGTTTTGCGGATAAATTCTAATTTCTGGACGGGCAACGTCCTCCCAACAGGGGCCAACTCGAATTTTTCTGATTAACTCGTAATCGATTAATAATAAGTTATTTGACGATAATGCATCGTCGTCAATCAGCTATTGTTGATCGACGACGCAATAACGCATCGTATCTTATCGCTAATACGTAGGCTGTATTTTTTAAAATAAATTGATAAAGAAATTTTGAAATAGTTTTTTTACAGTTAATTACTACAGTTTATCAAAGAGTATTTTTGTTTACGGGTCCCTAAAAGAACGAGATTCTTCCCAGTTCGAACGACACTTACAGAAAGTGGCCGAGTATCGAATGAATGTATAACGCGCTTTTTGTTTCGCAACCTCTCCAACCAGACCGAATTCCACAACCGTACCGATGGCGGAGTTACCAACAAATTAGACTGGAAGAAGGGGAGGTGGCAAAAAATATTCCAAGGAACCGCCACCTGCCCGGATAAAAATGCGCTTTAATTATACCTTTCGTTCTGACCCGGTGAATATTTCGCAATTTACTTAGTTTGCCCCCCGCCGACTTTAGTGGCGCGCTTTCTAACGTCTGAGGGACGAAGTTTGTCGGGCGTGCGCGCTCCTTATTGCTCGGGACGGCCAATAAATGCCCGCATTTAATCTAAAAATGGCTCGTTTCCGAGGAGATTATCTAGAAGCGAGAAAATAAACAAAGAAAATAAAATATAGAAAGGTGGCGCGCGGAGCCATAAACTTCTCGGGGCACGAGGCGCTAAGCTCTCGAACGATCCTTTCTAATTAAAGATTCTAGAGAGTCCAAAGATGTATATATAAATATAATAAGAAAAAAACCCGATCATTTTCGGCAATCCGTCTAAACTCGACTCTTAGCGCTGCGAAATAAAAGATTAACATCGAATTAAACTGGGTCGTACGACGCGGTTTCGGCCCGTGAAAATCCTTAAGAAGTAAAAACGGGAGATGGAGAGTACCGTTTTTCTGGTACGGCAATTCCCCTCCAGAGAGTGTTAGAACGATTCTAAGTTATTATTTCTATATTCCACGCATCGATCGATACGATACAAACGAACAGACTCGGAGTAAAGACGGGAAGTAATCTTCGTTATATTTCGATAAACGACCAATAAATTATTTATCTTCGATTTAACCAGGTCAAATGATTTCTATAAACTCCGATTTAACGATCTTTCGACTATTTTTATAACCGTATAAAATGCGGAACGGAGTAATAAAACCGCGAAAATTAATTTACAACTTATTAAGTTTTACACGCAGTATTTAATTACTTGTAAAGTTACGACTTTTCTTAATTCCGAACGATTAAATTCGGTTTACTTTGAAATTCTCCACTCGATTCGTCTTTTAATTCTATAACTTAGACGAGGATAACCAGACGAAAAGTCCTAACTAAATAACTCGTAAACGAGAATAGCTCATCCGCCAGTCGTTACGTTGCGCGAATCTTCTCGTTACTTATATCAATATTTTTCTGTCTGTTTATGTGTGTGTGAAGGAATAAGCAGCCCGTATTACGCCAGGCTTCCATTAATAATAGTTTTCGTTAATTCGAACGCTTGGCCTATTTCTTCTATCCGCTAAACTGTGTTATTTCTCCGTAACCAAGGAGCGTAAGTAACTCGTCTGAGGCATCGCGTCTTTTCCGGAAGCGTAAAAGTTTGCCTAGGTTGAGATACGGGAAGCCTTCCCGAGTCTTACCTGCCACGCTGGTGACGAAAACGACTCTACCCTTGGATTTTCTCAGCAGCGGAAGGAAGGCCTTGGTGACGCGCACGTTTCCCAGAACGTTAACTTCTATCATTTCTCGAAAGGTCTGTATATCGCACCATTCGATTTCCGACAGAACAGATCTTCCCGCATTACATACCACGCCCCATAGAACTGAAACGAAAAGGCAGAGTTACGGAGGAGGCGGGCCTGGCGTCCGAGTAACTAACCTTTCGGACCTTTTCCGTTCAACGTGCGCTCCAACTCTCGAAAGGCGCGGTCTACGTCGTCGGCCCGGGTCACGTCCATTTTCAGCACCTTGAGCCTGGAACCGCAATCCTCCGACAGCTTCTTGGCCTCGCTACCGTCGGGATACAAGCAACCGGCATAAACGAAAACGCCGTCTTCGGTCAGACGTCTGGCCAGTTTGTTGCCGAATCCGGTGTCGCAACCTGTAAATTACGGAATAAAAAGAGCCAGAAGTCCGACGGGAAAATTTATAGTTTAAATTTCCACCAATGAAATTCGATCGCGTCCAAAAATGTCCCAGAAAAGGAACGTGCGGGCACGAAAGCCAGCACGTTCGTGTTTTTCTTATTCGCCGTCACTCCATGGGGACGAAAAGCCAACGGTAGGGTTAGGATCTTCCCTGCCTTTCGGATGAAAAATATCGTGGGAATTAAGAAAACGCGCAAAAGAGTGAGGGACCGAAGGCCTGCCGAATTCCGGAAGTAGAAAAGACCTACCAGTGATGAGGACGGCTTTATCTCCGACGTCCACTCGGGTCTTCTTGAAGTAGAAAAGAACGAATTGGGCCAGCAGGTGAGCCAGGTACAGGAAGAGGAGGACGCCGCCGATTCCGGACACGGCTCGAGACAGGAGAGGCAGGATGCGGCAAATAATTGCCAGCGCCGAAGCGGTACACAGATAACTCAGCGCGCGTTGGGACATCAGTTCTTCGTAGAGGGAGGCTCGGGGTGGTGCCTGGCACTTGACGGATTCGTCCTGAAAAAGAAAAGCCAAACAGCTGGAAGAGGTTCCGAAAAGAGGACGAAACTCGCCATACATTCGAATTTCTTTGGAGACCGATTAGAATTACCCGCTGGTAAAACGACTACACTCTTTCGTCACAAAAGACCTTTGACCCGAACGAAAGTAAAAAAAAAAATTGTAAAAAACCGACGGTACAGAGTTTCGGAGTCTAACGGAGTTGGATGTCGCGCGCCGTTCCGCGGTCTCCTCCCAGACCTTGAAGAAAACCAAATCCGATGCCTCGTCTTACGTCATTGCCGGATTTTAACCGGACGAAACTCTTCGTTCTCGCCCACTTACCTTCGACAGACAAACGAGAGTTTTGTCTGTTTGGAATAGCGAAGGAAAGAGAAGGTCTGCTTTGACTAAATTTTATATTTGTAGACGAATGTAATCGCAGACCTAGCAGAAACACGTGACAACCGTCATATAAAAGCTCAGGCACGAAAAGCGACGAGAAATTTAATTGGGCAGAAGACCGTAGCGTAGGCTACCTTTTCCTCCCGGTAAGCGACTTAGTAACGAAATCGAAACGAAACTAGGAAAAGAGCCATCCGCTAATTATTTCCATTCTGAAATATTTCAGCGGATGACTCTTTTCCTAGTGCCAATTATTATTGACGGACAGAAAAAATGCAAACCGATAAAGATTCTGTTCACGCACCGATTTCGTTTTTTCTACACTTCAGAACTTCCGTTTTGTAGATAATGGAGATTCGCAGGATGTCGGAATTTCCAGACAAACCATAAATTATATCCTATTTGACGTTATATTTGCGACTTTTTCGAATCTTACGGCTACCCGAAAGATTTTTAATAGGCCCGTTTCGAGTTCCGTAGTAAGACATTTTCGCCAATGGGAACCTCGACACTAAGACGAAAATATTTCTCTTCCGAAACTTCCATCGACGTTTCCACATTTTTCCATTTCTCCGCGGTAGGAATTCCGGAAAATCCTAGTCGCCAGTTCTTTTCCATTACGGAAAAAAGGCGACAAATCTTTTGATTTCGAGGGGGTCGGCGCTATTTGCGGGAAGCGGAAAGAACCGAAAAGAAACGTCTTTTTTGCAAATTGGCGAGAAGAATGTTTCAATCGTTCCGAAGTTAAGTCTATAGATTCTTCCCGAGTTCTCGATTAAGTCTTCCCTCCCGAGGGGTACCACCGAGAAGCCCTCTATCGATGTTCGCGAGAAGACGGAAAGCGACGCGAAAATTTCTCGCCAGTCGCCGAACTCCACACCCGATTTAAATATCGAGTAAATTATATTAACTTATAAATTACGTTTTTCGTTTTGCTTTTACCAAATCGCGTAACGGAAGACTTTATCGGCGGAAACGACAATCGACATTTATTAGCAATGGCGCTTAAACGAGGACAGAAACCAGTAACGAATGACGAGCGTAGAACACGGGGGTACGCGGTTCGAAGTAGCCGAAACTTTAAAAATTCGTTTCGAAACCGGAAGTGGAAGAAGCCAGGGGTATTTCGGACACTTTACCGTTCGTGGCCGCGTTCTGGCTATCGCTCGGTCGACCGAACTTATTCCTCTTACTCTCTACGCTAAAAAGGGGGGAAATGCGCGAGGAACGGGCCAACGAAAGCGACGTAACGGCGCGGCGTAAAGAAAACGTCGGGGTAGGGAAAGTGGACGGAAGGAGGGAGGGGAGAGAAGAGAAACGAGTTTACTTACCCTTCCGCTGAAAAGACGTAACAGCGGGCGTTTGGAGGCAGGACGGACGGAATCGACGGCCATTTTAAACCCGACGGGATCTCGGACGGAAAAGGTTAAAAGAAAAGGAAAGGCGCTTCCCGGAGGGGAAGAGCGCGACGTCGAACCTTATCTGCCAGCGATAAGCCGGGTGTCCGCGCAGCGTCCGTTGCAGCGATCTCTCTTATCGATTAACTACTTTCGTTTGTTTTTTCTTCGATCGTAAACGTCGTCGATGACTCGGGGCGGCGAAGAAGCGCGTAAACCTCTTTCGCAATCCCCGGCGGATACCGGACACCCGCCGTTCTCCTTGGAAACGATTCTTTCGTTACCGACTCGACGGTGCTTCCATCTGGTACGGAAACCCACAACTATCGGCGAAAGAGGCTCCTAATTACCCAAAATGCGCCTTCGACAAATAAGAGAAAAAGACTTTAGCCGTTTTAACCCATTGCGAGATGCGAAATATCCGTTTCCCCTCCGAGTAACTTGGCCGAACGGAACAAAAAGTGTTTTTCCCATCCGGAGAATTTCGTACTCCCGATTGGTTAAGAAGCGCACGCGACTACGATACGACGTAGTATATAATAAGCAGGAGGGGACGACGGAGATAAGCTCGAGCGCTCTATTAAATAGAGGTTTTTTCCTATAATTTAACAGGCCCGCATACTTAAAATTCCGTAAATATAACTTTAAAGCGTCGTTTAAAAAATCGACAAACGCAAGATGAAGCGCTTTATTTTTCCCCCTTTAGGCTCTAGGCCTAAATCCGCGCCAGAGGGATTTTTCCCCGACAGTCTATCAAATAATACAGTTGTACCAATTTACAAAAAAACAATTACACAACTACAGTATTGTTATAATACCGGTTGTTGCGAAAATATTTGAAAAATTTTCTAGGCGAGAATAAACGCCTTCCTTACGAAATAGGAAATTAATAGGTATTCGTTTGGATTTAGACGTTACTCTTTTACACCATAATTTAAAAGCCATTAGATCCCATTTAGCGCCGGCTATAAATTGCTCCGATGGCTTCCGCGCATTCGACTCGGTCGATTTACGGTCACCGAAACATCGACTTTATTTTAATGGGCTAATTGTCTATTTCGGCTACGCCATGGCATATTTGGAAAATAGCCAGTATTTTACAACGGGTGCGCAGAATATTTCCGGGACTCGAAATTATCCCAAAAATGATTGCGCGCTAGCGCCTAACCAGCGAACGAATGGATGGGAAACAAAAAGCCACGTTCCAATTTCACTTTTAAAACATCAATTTCCCCGTGTTTTGACGGATTTTTCCAATTAATGCGTATAGGCTTAGCCCAGATAATACTCTATTATATCGCGATGATTTCGCATCTATTGCCGCATTATTGTCTTTTCTACCACAAATTTTACCCCAGAGGTGATAAAAGTGTTATTCGCTACATCGAAATGGACGTCATTCGTCTTTAGCATTTCGTTTTTATCAAATCGATATAATGCTGGAACGGGACAAACTACTAAAAGGCGTCGGAGTGGCAGTTAAAAGCCAAAAATTTCTGAAGGTAGAAGAGAATTTTGAAGAGAATTTGCTACGGAAGATGATTCGTTCGAGAGCCAGAATGTGTACGAATGCTTACCAGGCCTATTTAATGAAGAGAGGGAGAATACCGATGGAACGGTTGGGCTTCGGCGCACAAATGACGAATGTTTCGAACCGAAAGAAATGTCCTTACCGACGAGGAGACACGATACTCCCGAAACGCGTATAGAATACTGAAATAAAGATGGGAAATAAAAGGCAAGCGTTGTCGTTGTTACGGAGCATCGATCCACACGAAAATAAAACGAAATTAATACAGTAGAGAATTACAATACGGTTTAATAAAACCGTTGAGCCGCACGATTTAGAGAACCGCGTACATCCTAATACATCGTTTGAAGAGAAAAAATGCCATAAAGTGAAACGCTTAAAAGATGAGGGCGTAATATTTCTCCCGTTTGATCTCTTTCGTTGTTGGTATAAATGTGTACGTTTTAATACATCAGATACTAGATTTTTTAATTAATTATATTAAAATGTTTGATGCAATACGTTTATGTAATTTGTGAAGCATTGCATTCAAATTTTCTCTTTAAAATCATTTACATTTTCGAGCGAAAATTTAATTATAGTAATCTGAAAACTAAAACAAAGACACACAGTTTTTAGTGTACTTTTTTTTATTTACTCTCAGTTTTAAGCATTTTTTTTTCATTGTCGTACACCGGAAACTTAGTCAGCCTCCGTTGCGCAATAAAGAAGGACCGCCGATGAAGGTGTGATCCTTCGTCTCGATAATGCGCGTGCAAAAATTGTCCGTCGAGACGTTTTATCTGAGAAATAATGCATCATTCTTCTTATAACTCTGATCTGGCCCGCTCGAGAAGGCTCTTAAAGGGCGAAGCCTCGGAGTGGAAAAAGACTTAAAGGAAGCCGAAGCGAAACGCGCGGGAATCGTTAAAACATAAAATTCAACAAGCCCACCAATTCCGTCGTTTCCAATTAAAAGTCTTACTATTTTCGAAGAGAAAGTGGCAAAATGACGTAATCGGTCCAATTTATAATCGAAGGCGATTATTGGATAAGAAGATTATTTTGTATAAGCCGCGTCCGAATTAAAACGGAAGGGTGCCATTTAACATAGTCCGCTTCCGGTCTTCTCCCTCCGAGAAACGCAATTTGTGCCCAATCGGACACAAATGCGCGTTTTACCGAAAATTATCTATAATTTATGTCATTAAAGGAGGATGCGTTTAGCGTCATAGCTGCGCGGATATCCGCCCAATTGCCTTACTTCCTAGTTTAATTCGGAAATATTATCTATTCGCACCATAAATAGTATCGTAAATTCATCTGGACGTCGTTCTTTGGATATTTCTAAAACGAAAGTGTTTTTCCCCAGGAATAGTGAAAAATGAAACGTAATCATCCCGTAATGCGTCGCCAGATGCGAGTGAACTTTTAGTCGACAGTTTATTCCCGGAAAAATTTTATAGGCGACTCGACCTTTCTAATTGCCGCGGCCCCCCGATAAAAGAATAAAGGGAAGCAAAATCGCGGAAGAAGAGAGTAACTACTGTACTTCAAATAGTTCATCTTTCGAATAAAATTGACAAGGTTATTTTTCCCGCTATTATAAATAATTAACAGCTCGGCGATAGGCAAGTGGCCAAAAAATGACTCCCCAAAGAGGATTACATTTTCCGACTCGGGACCCGCGTGTGTGGAGCGCGCGATTTTGTTCACCCGCTTTGAAGTTTAATAACTCTTACGCCTTAAGTCGAAAATTTCAAATTTTCCTAAATATATTTTTAATGGTCATAAAATTATTACAATTAAGATATTTTATTTTATCATCGAATTATGATGATTACTTCATTCGGTATTTTGACACCCGATCAGTCAAAACTTCCTAACTTAACACGCCGTTCGGGGATACTTAGAACATTTTCGGCTTCGCCATTTCAGTTAATTAGTTTTCATGGTTTTCCGCGTTACTTTAAAGAAAAATTTTTTGGTAGCTTCTACGTCTTTAAGTTCTTTTCCCCATAATAGAAATTCTGCTATTTTGCTGGCCAGCATTAAGATATCTATAAGATGATGGTAGTCCTTTTTAATTTTAACAACATTAAACGTAATATCCTACGAGTAATAAAAGTTACTTATAATTACAGTACTGTACTTACGAGCTACTTTTAATTATTCGAGTATTTTAAATTTTTGAGTTAGCCACCTTTGGGTTCTTCCGAATCCGCTACCGTGTGGTTTTTAAACTTGCCGAATTTTTTGCTTCGATCGGATAAAGCTACTTTAAAAGTTAATGATTCTAGCAAAGAATTCTGCGCACTTTTAAACGGTTCTTTACTCGCCAGCTTTCCACTGGAAGTTTTTCGTAGGCTTCGTTGCCAGTTGGACACGGTTTAGTTAGTGACGGTAGGACCGATGATAGAAAATGGGCTGGAAAGACTCTGCTAGTCGAAGATCGCGCCTGGTTGTTGACGGTGTGATCTGAGGACTTAGTGAGGCAAAAGTCGGCGTGCGGACTCTTGCCCCCACTGGTACATTTTTTGTTACAACGGTTTAACGAAATTACGATTACTAGAATATAAGGTTAAAGAACTCTCATAAAAAGCTTTGACACCGGGGCGAGACTGCCAGCGGGTCAAACCGCGTTGATTATTGCTATAGCGGATTTGTTAATATAAGAATCAAAAAATTGGTGATCCCTATATGGGCGAACTTGTCTTCAAATATTAAAAAATAAAAAGAACAGTCGGACAAAAAAATTAAAAAAATTACCGTTTTGTTTTGATATAATAATGTCTTCTAAGTGCCGTGTTCCGGGATGTAAAAGTGCCTATGCCGCTTATAAAGAAAAACGTGCCAATAAAGATGCTAGGAAACTCTAAATCAGGGGTGGCCAAAACGTGGCGCGTGCGCCAAACTTGGCGCATTGGACGATTACAAGTGGCGCTTCAGTCAGTACTGAGTAACATTGCCATATTTGGCTTCTTTGCAATTATAAATATTACATAGAAAATTAATTTTTTATAGTCTGTCTTGGCAAGTTCATTTGTTGCACAATTCGTTGCAATCAACTTTACAGATGAAATGAGTGTTCTCCACATAGTAAATTACAGTGTATGCATGTATGTTTATTTTCGACCAGTATATAGGCGTCTAAATGACAGTGCTAAAGTCCCACGATAGTGCTATCGTCCGGATAGTCCGGAAATCGGTTGGACTACTACCAACTTCCTGCGACACCTGTTGACCTTTTTTTTTTTGCTTCTACGATACACGATACATTCCTGATCGTGTACACCACTAATATCGACCACTGCGCATCTGAACTCGTCTATCAAAACATTGGCGCATAGTATGCAAAAGGTTGGCCACCCCTGCTCTAAATTGTAAGTAACTAATAGAATAAACTTTTATTTATCGAGGAACTTTTAATTTTCATTAATGTTTTCGACGTATTTCGCAAATCATCGTCAGATGGATCAACATTTGAATATCAAAGAAAATTAAAATTATAAAAGTGTACAATATAGAATAACTTACAACATAATTATGTTACAATGCAAATAAAATAAAAACAAAAATAAATATAGAGAGTGATTAAATAAAAATACAAAATAAAAAATGAGAATAAAAACTCCTATAGTTGTATCTAGTTTTAAACTTGTTATTTAAAACAAAAAATAACAGTTTTATTAATCGACAAAAATACATTTACCGTAATTCCTATACATCGGTATAAACTATATACAGTGGAACCTGGCTTAACGAGCATAATTCGTTGCAGAATAGTACTCGTAATGCGAAACACTCCTTAAGCGAAACAATTTTTCCCGTATAA